ATATACAATTCCATATATTGTTTCCAGTCTGATGGTTCATTTAGTATACGATGCCTCACATTCATCTGAAGAAAGTCTAAAGTTGTTTCGGGAAATTCGTGGGTTTGTGAACTTTTACTAAAAAAATACTTATAAACTTTTCATCGCAATATCTGCTGACCTCATCTAAGGTCAGATTACCTTAAGTACTCTTCCTTGGTGACTTTATTTCTCGTTTAAATATATTCTACATAATTTATTTCAAGTGGACGTCTCCTACGAGATTATTTAATTACTTAAAGCTATTTATTTGTGTCACATTGCTACTGTAAAATCCAGCTTTATTTATTAAGGAAATTTTTTGCCATATTTTACTACAATCACTGGTTTATTAGGAACGGTAATTCCTTTTCGTTTTTTCGTTTCTACTGTCTAGTGGAATTTTTAACTTCCAAGCCTCTTTGTTTAGTAACTGCTTCATCCAATTTTGCTTGTTTCTCATACAGCTGGATTACTACAAATTCATTCCCGCACACCTCGTTATGCATTTCATCAAGCGCGGTTAGATTCATTTCCAAAAATAATTCATTCAAAGGATTCTGCGAATGATTCAACAATTTGCCGGTCAAAGTCTCCAGTTCCATCTCCTTCTGAGCTGGCTTCAGCAGGCTTTTTTCACACTGGTTCTGGAGACGAAACTATCTGCCCTGCTTGTGGTTTGGGGCTACGTGATTGGCAGGCCACAGATCAACCTGAAGCGTGTCATATCGCATATTCGGCTGCCGCAACAGCTGCCATAGAAATGGGTTCGGGTGACGGACACTATCGCTCACCTATCCCAACTATACCATGTCTTTATCTTATTGTCCATCGTCTTCTTGTTTCCGAAATTCCTCTTGCTCGTAAGTCTTTGGTTCCGGTTGGACAAACGCAATCTGTCCGAGGTCTTTCTGGAGTAATTTCTCGGCCTGTAGTACATTTCACTGACCAATCTTCTCAAAACTCATCTTGTGAATATCCATCTTTGGCAGATAGACTATATGCGATAGCTCATATAATGACTGCGTCTCCAGCTCCTCAAGGATGGCCAGTAGAAAATGCACGTGCTCTGGGTCATTCAGATGATTTAATTGTTCTTGCATTGTGGCGTTTGCAAGCGGAAGCTGCTGGGATGGGGCTGGCGTGTCCACCAATGAAGTCAATCTATATTGATCCTCAAGCTACAACAGAGCTATTAAAAGCTATTTTAAGAGTTCAAGAAGGTTATGATATATCTTCCAGGAACAATCTTGAATTCTATCTGGATGCTTTCGACGAGGAAGAAGTACATTCCACCGGTGAAGTACTAAGTGAAAGCAATGAAGGTGACATCACGGCGGAAGATGCAGAAACAGCAGCTTTATCACAGTGTCGTCGATATTTGCGACCACCACAACAACAATTTAGTGACCCAACCTCATCTCCCCGTTCAGTTGAACCATATGGATTACAAATCAAAAAGATCCATCTTCCTCGCTTTTATCAGTTTCTCGTTTGGTGGTCTCATCGTTGGCCTGCGACTCATTCTCTGAAATAATTTAAATACCTCTGAGTACTTAATCTTATTCGAAAGACAGATGACTTGTGGAGTGCACGTGCTACCCACTTTGAAAGCTAGAACACCTACTCCCAGTTGCTCATAATACATTAATCATTCAGTTTTAAAATAATATTTAACTTCACATACTTTTAGGGAACAGTATCTATTTCTTTCGATACATTTCAACAAATTCATTTCACACCTAATATACTTGATAAATTAAGTTTGTAATTTCCCTTGTAAAAAATAAATATCCTATTTTATGGCATTTCGAGTTGATTATCAAACATCAAATGTGCACTTTTTTTTAGACAATTAAGGGACTTTCCAATCTGGAATTTATATCTTGTTTTACATGAGTGTTTTTGTGTTGAATTTCGTTTTAATTGACAGTAATTTAGAAGTTAATAGTCAAGTCTTTTGCTATTCATCGGTTTAAATTCATATTAATCCATAAACAGAGACTTGTAGCATGCACTCGAAATCAATGGGGCTCGTTGTAAGCATCTATGCTGATGTACCCCAATATGGTTACCAGGATCCAGTCGTATGATTTATATGAAAAATAACCTGCGTAGAAGAGATCAGTGGTGAATACTTACAGTTAGTCTTTGTCACACGGAATTCAATAACTTAAACAAATGTACCATTTCCCGGAAAATTAGTGGATTTGTGTTGTAGTTGGAGGCGGTTGACAAGGAAACCTTGGACCTGGGTTCCATTACATGGCATTTCGGTGACTAGGCTCGTGTCCCGTAATTCACAATACACTCATTTTCCATATTTACAAATCATCCTATCGATGGTAGGAATTGATTTTTTAAGTCAAGCAGACGTAACTTGTTGCGTCATTACGTGATATGCAGGACCAGCGTGTCAGACTTAAGCTCGAATAATCTGTATAACTGTAACAAGTAGTTCTGTTACTAATTGCTAACAATTAGTATATTTATGCATAGGGATTCGCTGTAATTAGCTAGTGACGACTTACAGTAATGCCACGGGCGAACCATTATGTGGTTTGTAGAGAAAATTAAATCCTTCACGTTTTTGGCAAACGATATAACTGTTATCATGATCCTTAATATGAACTTTATCTAGATTACTGTAGTAGTTGTTGGTTAAAAATTAGTAGCAATGAGATTTCACACGACTGGGAGCTTTAATGTACACTTAACTATTAATGCTTTATGCATAGCTTCAAATGGACTAAACTATTACGTACATCCTGAACGACAGTTTAATAAGAATAGTTTAGTTATTTTATTACCAAGACTGAAAGTACATATGAAGCGGTTCATAATATGAAAATCCACCTTGGAAATGGGGAATAATCTCAGCCTCATTGTTTATGAAAATTTTAGAATAGATAAATTGAATGCTTTATCTTACTGAAAGTGTTCTTACAGTCCATTAATTAGTAGCAATTATCAGCTAACTGGGAAAACGACTGGTTACAACACACGATACTTTCTCATCTATTGACCGAGTGATGACCCATTTAAAGTAACATGTATAAGATTTTTGATGAGTTATTTGAGGAGGCTGGGCATGCAGTAGTTACACTTCGATCTAGATCACAAAGGGATTTTGAGCGGATAGGAATGTGTTTACCTTAGTTGCACTAGAGATTCTTAAGCCACTCCCTTATACCATGAATGGGATGATTTATGTATGTATTTATTTGCTAATTTTCTGGTATTCCTATGTATCACTAAGTATATCATTTTTATTTAGTGTGTCAGAAACTATTTCTAACAATCTTTTACGATTTAGACAAGTGGTATCTTACTTCAACATAGGTTGTTAGTTCACATCCATAGTGTATGTACTTCGTTAAATCGGTAATTATTTTCGGAAACCTCAGAAATGAATTGCCATATCTGCAATGATTTAACAACTGAGTAGAATACAGGGGAGATTTTAGAAGTTACTTTCGACAAGGAACACAAACATAGCCCTTACTAAGCAGCCTGACGATGTGAGATTAGTTTCATTAAGGAGCTTGAACAACCACTCATGGGTCGTAGATTTGTAGACACTACATTCAAGTAAATAATCTTATGACTTCTTACAGTAAATCAATAGATGTACTAACCATACCTTCCCTAAATTGTGACTTATTTGAAATCTGGATACAGTTGCATCCATTCTCGTTTTTCCTTCAAAACTTGACTTTCTGATCCTTTTTTTTCATCTTCATATCTCTTTTGCTTTAACTCCCACTGACTTTATTATCTCTCTTCATTTGTTTCTCATCTTGTAAATGTTCTCTCGCGATTATAATGATCCCTTTGTTGATAATGACTTTAGATAATACTGAATGTCAGACAGATCAGTATGCAGGATAATTGAGATCTGGCAAAATTGTGAATAGGCCAAGGCCATATTACAAACACATGTGTCAAATAGCTAATACATTCACTACACAACTAAATATTCTGTTCTGTTGTAACAGCGCAATACAATCTCATGCTGCGTACTTCACATTCGAGTTACTGCTTGTCTTGTCGAAGCCCTAGGCTTATTGGGATCAGCAGTATTTTGTCAAACTATTTCAAATTCACATATACCATGTGCATGCACACCAGATACCATGTTTCTAGGGCTTGGTAAGCTCTATTACGTCTGTTTAGCGTCAGAAGCATAGTAAGATCAATGGCTAAGTCAGTTTCCGGTGTTACGTGACCTTAATTCAAGGAGCTGGGTAGTCTCAAGGTTACTAATGCGGAAGTTGTAATAAGCCAACTTCAGACACGGCATCACATTATAAGGCAACCGCTTTTACAACCCATACTCGGTTTCAACGTCATTAGACAGTGCTGAGAGTGAAAGTAACTTAGAAATAATCCAGTCACTGAGGTCGTTGGATAGTGGTTAGCACAACTTCAAACAATGTTATCTATGTATGGCATTGCACCTTAGCGACCATACAGAGGGACTTTACACGTCCGTGTTGCAAAGCACATACGACACGAGTACTAATCACAACTAATCTGGTGATGCTCCCGGTAGCCAATATACCACAGTAATAACAAAACCATATAGCATGCATGCTCAATATCATTAGGGCCTTCCTTGGGTAACACCTAAACTACTACAAACTATTCCCACTAGAGTTGTATCAGAGCACGATAAACGGTCGCAAGTCATTACATGATGATGGGAATATTTTCTGAATTCATAACTGTCTTGAAACAAATATATACAGCAACATAAAATGATTATACGAAAATGTAAACGCAAGACATAATCCGCAAGACTAATTTATCAATAACAATCTGGGATTTTGTAGAGAATTTAAGTTAACCAACTGTCATACAAAGTGACATGAAGTCATAATCGGAAAAGTTTATTTGTATTTACTAAGACGATTTTATTACAAAGTTTGAATAGTGCTGAATCTTACATTTCTCCTAAAATAAAACACTATACGTGGAATTTAATCAGGAGCTGAACCGACAATAGATATATGGGAACTGTTCTGACAAATAGCTGCAAACATGGGATTATTAGCATGCAGAAACATAGTTATTGTACGATTTGCATAGTACAGATCATCTTGTTCGAGATTTCGAATAACTTCTTCGAGTATATGTGCTCTACATGCATTAGTGCCATAGTTGTCTCCAGAATCTATGTGCACAAAGTGAATATGAAATCTATAAAAGGTCGGTGGATAATGTATATAAGCAAGAATCTGGTCTTTTGATAAAATAATTTTCGGATTATCACCGGACATTTGATTATCGGATGTTTCTGATTTAGAATATTTGTGAAAGAGTGTATCACGACCCAGCTGCAAAATCCTTTTTAGCATTGGAACATGGCAGCTACGGAGATCCCGTAGACAAGTTAGCTTTTGGTCGTGAGCAATACCCAAACAATGAAGTTCTTGGATGCGTAACCCATCCCATCGGTAATCTAATACTAAAGTAAAACCAAACATTTCATCAGCATCATTGTGAAGAGTACGATCTTGTTCAGCGATTCCTGCTACTACATTATCAATCCAAGTAAGATCCTTGGGTTTCTGGGACAAAAAAGGGAGAATGACATCCTTGTACAACACAGGAGTCTCCTGAATAATATGACGAGGGGAGTTGGCATATCTACTAAAGTGATGTGATTCTGCAGGATACGTCACAGTCATTTCAATACCATTAATGGACTCTAGACCATTTGTTATAAGGAAGCGATGATAAATATCGTTCTTCATAATGGACTTGGCTTGCCATTGGGGAAAAGTATCACTTTCAGTCTCGTCAGTTTTATCTTTTTCATGGCATTGGTCATCAATATCGTCGGAAATATGGAGACCAATGAGCTTGTTAACTACTTTACAACGTTTTAAAGTGTTTGGATCATTTGGGAATGATGATTTCTGAAGTGTAACAATAGCTTCCTTTGGATCATCGCCAAAACGAGTATGTAACACTAAACACTTATTTCGAAGATCGTTTTGAAGAACAGATATTAAATGCATATTCTCAGGACGAAAAGAGGTAGCATCCGTCGAACCGTTAACAATGTCAACCGTTGATACATCCAGTCGGGCACGTTTTTTAGGCGGCACAGGTGTGTCACCAATCCGGAACGAATTTTCAGACATTTTAATCCGAAAAGGCCTGAATAGCTAACACGTCAGATTCACGAATACGAGCTTTGCAAACCACACCCAACGGAGTATGCAGATCTTTTACACAAATGAATCCTGGTTCTAACTTCGTCTTTGAGTTAATTCTTATATCTGAAGGGCACCAAATATTTAGGGTGGCCTTGAGAGGTTCCTTCAAATCCGTTAAATAAAGCAGAACTGAGCAGTCTCTACTAATTTTCTGCAGCAGGGACAAATACCGCAAACGCAGAAAGGAACTCGATTCTTTTTCGTTTGTTCCTAGATGGTGAATACTAGACATTCAACCAGCATACACTGTGAAGTTAGTCCGGCAGAGAAGTTTCACTATAGGATCGTAGTATGGTCGGAGAAACGACGATCCGTCGGCAGGTCCAACAGTCTAGAAACAAATTGGAAACTATGTTTACAGAAGACACAATGATAAAAGTAGTTTAGTATTAATATGTGAGAATAAAATGTTCTAATCAAGGCAATTGATATCACATACAGATTATTTACCTTCTCCGATCGTAATGAATTAGATAACATGTGAGAAAATGTGTGGTGAAACACGTTTATGAACTTCGAAGACAAATTTATCGAAAACGAGTAAAAGACGTACCTTATCGCAAACACGAAAAAGTGAGTTTCTGACTAACATGACCTAGTTTGTTAACACTTAGTATGAAAGCCAACGAATTATGGGTTTGTTGTTATTAGAATTAATCTTTTGCGTCACATTTTCAATAATGAGCGTCAAATTGGGTGTTTACAAGGAAAATTGCTAATTGAATGAAATGTGGGTATTATATCTATATAATTGGATACAACTAGTAGGAAACTTTGGATTCAGATTTTATACTCGTTTACATTCAAACAGACAAAGATAAATTGAGTTATGGTTATGTGGAAGTAAGAATTACTACATAAACAAAAAGGGAAAGACACGAAGGAAACAAAAACGTTAGTTGCAATTAGTCAAAACAATAAAAAAGTGGTAGAAAAATCGACATGTATGAAAATGCGGTAATCACGGATTAAGTACATTTCCATCACTAGCATTAGTTTGTGCCAATTAGTGAATGACATCAGAGACTTCAGGAAAACCGCATATTTTTAAAAGCCTAAACTCAAACTGTGGAGAAACGAAACTAGAAACGCTGGCAGAGTTTGAAATTTTGATTTAACAACTCAAGAATGAATTTACCCAGTATTTAGATTTTAGAGCTAGCAAAACAATTAAAAATGAATCAAAGAGCACGAGCCGTACGGATTTATCGTACCACTACCTAGGATGTCAATATCGGAGTGATGACTTCTTGTCAGTCAGTCAGCTACAACGTAGGACCAGGCACATTTATGCATCCGTCCAAGTTGCCATACCTCATTAACACAAGAATGACACCGAATTCATAAACGTAGTTAATTCAGAGGTGGTAATATATAAAAGAAAGATTGAAATAAGGATATAGTAGAGGGAGAAAGAATTAGCCCGTAGAAAGAAAGATATGAAGCCATTTTAATCTCTTAGTTTAAGGGAATATAAAAAGTGTATACACCGACGCCATTGTGATCGATTCTGAGCCATGTCACCAAGTCTCCAACAATTGGTTACGATAGTCACGTGGACCCCAACCAAGTAGTCTGCATCTACCAACGTGGCTCAGACTAGAAGTTAGTGACCTCAAGCACTGATGCCACGTTTTGGTTTGGCCGCCCCTAACTTTCTTCCAACCATCCCGAACGCCGGTTAGCATTGCACGTCGTGGTAATCAGTGTTCAAGCATACGTAACACGTGGCCCAACCATATCAGTCGATGAAGATTCACAACCTCATCGACTGATTTACCATCATTCCCTAATACCCTGCGTCTAGGGAATGATGGTGATGACGACTTCCTGTAGCGAATATGTACCAGTAAAAGGACTTCTAGATTTTATTTTATCTAATTCTACTTTAACAAGTTTGGTTTATAGACCCAGTGAGTTTGGATGACGGTCAAATAGCCAACCCACGTCAGCCAGTGGGGATCTAGCAAATTTTCGATCAATACGTTCTTCCTATCTGCAATCGACTTCTGTTTAACACTGCTAACACGGTGGCTTAAACTTCAGCGGTGGCGTGATGGAGCATATGACTAAGAACCTACAAATTATACAGCTTATCAAACACTGATGCAATATACTCAGGCAAATATCGAGTTGATACTATGTGAACAATTGTTGAATCGAAATATTGTACTTGTGCTACGATCTTGCCAAGAACGAAAGGTGAGGCGACTCTGCAAATAGGTGGTCTGTACACCTACCTGATTTCCTACTCTTGATAAACTCATTCACTTGCTTCTCTAATCTTAGTTGTCGGTATAGACTAGCTGAGCATTTACTTTTGAAAGGCGCGAAATAGATAACCATTCTTAGAATTTTGTTGAAGACGTCCAAAAACCTTACATCTTTTTGTCTTTACCTGAAACTATTTGAGTAAGAGATTAATCCAAGGAGATAAAGTAAACTAAAATCACCCCGTATCAGCACATGAAATAAGGGTAGGCAAAACAGTTTAATCTTTTGAGATCAACAAATTCATTTGAATGATTTTCTACGAGCCCTTCAACGGGTGTTTTTGGTCACTACCATAAAATCTCGACCCTTTCCCTAAGAATCTGGAAGCCTGCTAACAATCACCTATCCACATATTGGGTTACATGATATGAACAACCAATCTCGAAAGGTTTCAGTTTTAAATGTAAATTGAGTATGGGACGAAACTCCCTGGATATTTAAATCATTTTGTCGCATTACATTTTTAAAGATATTTTGCCAAATATGTGCAAGAATACTCAGGATTTCAACTCGAATCATATTTCATTGCGTACAACATACAACAGTTTAGCGTTCCAAATTAGACAAAGACAAACAACAGTAACCATGTTCAATACTGACTTGAAACTATTACCCTAAACAAATGGTGAAATATTCATACTCACTTCAACCGAAATTAGTAGTATATCGATGAGATACCAGAGACCGAAACCACCGAATGTGAAGAATTTCAAGCAACCTGTGCAAGAATATATTTAATAAGCTAACTAACCCAGAGCTGGGTACCCAAGATAAAACCGGTCTAAGCCAAACAGTCCACCAAATACTGAAAGCAATAATGCCAGATCAAACTTATATCCAGTCCTATACAGAAATATAGTTAACATTACAAATAATGGTCAAACTACACTCGACGGCAATCTATTAGCTTTTGAAAACCAATTTCTGTACCACTGTAAAGCTTCCCACTACAATGGATTCCTGGAGCCGGTTTGCAGTTAACTTACACAGAGTAGGGTATGAAATTTTTAAAGTACCTGGAGCTTTCAAAAAGAGAGAGCAATTCCTTGGCTGCTGGGTAAGCTCGTCTATGAGAGGGGAGTCACAGATGTACTGTCCCGGTAAAAGATTTTCACACGATAGATCCAAGCTAGACTGAATAGTATGAGCCAACTTCAAACAAAGATAGAAAATAACCAAGAACAAAAACATGGTGTGACATGCCCGCGCAAATTCAAAACTCAAGTCTATCGTTAATTGTACAATGTATAACAGCCTTGAAAACAACCCAAATCTTCGTTCCAGAAAAGCAGTGAAAAATCACACTCTCGTAAGTTAATAAGAATACTATTGCGATGAGTGATTCTTGCTAAATTTGTTGTCCATAGTTTAAATTAGCTAAATATTACCTTTCCAACACTACGTGATCTGTCCAGAAAGTGCTAAATAGTATCCCTGTATCAATAGAAATGTTTTTCGTTAAAACTGTTGGTCGTATCATATCCATCATCAATTTACCTACCTAATTTAATTTGGATCTGATTAATCGTTGGACAATTATTAGTCGAATAACTGGGGTGGTAAGAACGTACAGGAAGTTTATTCGGCAAGTTGAGATGGACGCATTTACAAGGATCCTCGATGATAGCCGGTGTTTGTTATATCTGACACACATTTTCAGAGATAAGGCGAAAGCAGCTATCCGTAAATGTATTATGATTGACTTGTGGAGATGGTTAACATAGAGTTGTCTCGTGATTCGTTTTTGTTATTAGTTCTATTCTTTTCATTAATTCACATAACCTGTACGATCACCATTATTGGTCGTAAAATTGCCGTTTAAAAAAGAGTAGCACGACCTTTGACCCTCCGTTCTGATATGTGAACACAAATAGCATAAACTGTTGATTGTCACTCACAAAAACACAGCTGCATATATAGGCTAATCTCGTTTCTTGACTTACTAATTTATTCGTTCTTCTCAAACCACATTCTGACCCTGTTGATTGCGTAACTTGTTCATTATGTTTCTGTAATTTACTTTTCAGTCTGGCCATAAATATTGAGTAACGCCTGATTAAATTTAGTTGACTCACTCGCCTTCTCCACTCCGCCTCATTTGATTTGGTTTCGCTCTCTCCTGTTTGCTTCCTTCTCTGCGTTTCCTTGACTGTCCATTCAGAGTAACGACAAAATTAAATATACGTATCCAAAGTGGATTCTCCTATTCGAGTTATCTAAACTCCGTTATTCACTAACGTGCATTAAATCAATAATTAGATGCGAGGGTTGGCAGCATATATATTTCGATAACGGTCAACAAACGATCTAACTGAAGTCAAACATAGGGCCACTAGACTACAGATCAACTCCCGTGACTATGAGAAAGCTTTTGACACAGTGAATAGAACCTTATGGAACTTTCTTCAACAGTGTTGTGAATAGCTGAGAAGATCGCCAACATCATCCGCAACTGCAAAGTCGTGCATTGAGGGCAGTTTATAGATGCATTCCAAATGAGTACCGGAGTCAGACAGAAGTGCTCACTCTCCCTATTTCTCTCTTCTAGTGGTTGACTGAATTACGGAATACAATGAACATATTGGATGCAACTAGATGATATGAACTCTGCAGATGACTAAGGTCAGGTAATGCTTGTACTCTACGGCTAC